TGCGTCTGCCGCCGTCGGATCGTGTTGGGGCTCTTGGGTTCTGCGGTTGCGGAAGCAGGAGCAGCCCGTGAGAGACCTGTGCCGTGAGGCCCTTCGGTGCTGCAGGACAGCTTTCGTTAGCACCGTCGTGTCTCCAGACCTGTTTCCGAAATAGTTTAGAGCTTAAGTGATGTTGCATGTAGTTACCGATCACTGTCAGCAGTGTCTGCTCATGGTCTCAAAACGCCTTAAGCATCAGCTGTCACATTTTTGGAGGGTGTGCTTTTCTGTCTTTATTCCCCTTTCCCTGTCTCTGATGCAGCTGTCATACCCATACACTTTACTGGTAAGTTGTTTGCATTAAATAATACCATTCCAGTTATAACGCTTCACGTGCTTGCTCTAGTAACTTACTGGTTATGTTGTGCTTGAGAATCGTTTCTGTGAATCTTGCTGTGGTGTGTGAATGTCTTAATGCCACTTTAGTGAGACTCTTAACATTTCAGTAGTGAGGAAAGCAACTGGAATAATATGGCTTTCCTTCAGACTGGTCAGGTTGCAAAATGCACAATATTATTGTCCGTTGCTGTTTCTCTGATATCATGTTCTCTATAGGTCCTGCTGTGTTGCGTAGATGCAATTGCAAAACCGAAGTTTTCAAGTATCTTTTTCATGAAGTGTTGCTACAGGATGTGCCGATACGTAGCTGTGTTATACATCCAGTCACAAGTTGTTTTAAAATAATGTGAAGAAGAGGAATATGTACTTGAAGGAGTGTTCTCTACCAGTGTTTGGACCTTGTGGGGTGAAACTTCAGGTTCAGTGGACAGCTTAACTGAGAAGTATTTGCTCGTAGAAAGCTCAGGACATCTGCTTGCGGTTAACTAGTGGAACAGGACTGTAGCAGCCAGACTGGGTCTTTAGCTGCTTGTTATTGTTATTTCTGAAGTATGTTACGTTATGCATGTTGGGACAGGCTTACTTAAATTGTGAGAAGCAGCAAAGGGAAGAGAGGGCTGTGTGATTTAGAGCATAATGTGCTGATATGAGTTAAGCAGGAGCACTGAAAGAATCTATTCTGAGTGGATGCTGCCAAATAGCAGGTTGCTTTTTAGCTGGATATTATCAGGACTGTCAGAGATATCTGATAGGCTGCTGTGAGTGAAATGTTTCATTCACATGTGATTATTAGCAGGAGACTAATGTAGAGGGAGACTGTTAGGTGGGAGGGAAGTGTCAGACAATTGGGTTTTGAAGAGACGGGTTTGAGTTGAAGAGTATAAATGTGCACCACAAGGCTCTACAAACAGTTTAAATTTAGGCATGTCACTGGTAATCCTACGTATAGGTAGGCAAAAATGGCGTGACAGTGGAAGAACAGTTCCTTTCTGTAGTTCTTGGGTTACAGTTTGCTTGCAGAGTGATATCTTGGCCTGGATAAGCTCCAAAGGCAGAGAATTGCTTACTAAACCATAATACAGAAGGCTTTCGGCCTACTTTAGATCTGTTGAGAAGAGTATTTTTCTTCAGTGCTTCTGTATTTCCTGAATGTTTCACTTGGTGAGCCCTGACTGCCATTGAATACATGCTGTCTTGCCTGTGGGATGACTGATAAAATTGTGTAGTTGTTCGTATTATAGTGAATCCTTGCATGGATTTGTTCACTGCTTGCAGAAGTTCAGCTTCATTTAAAGTAACTGTTTTTAAAATAACCATAGCAGGGAAAAATAAGCATACCACCTGCCAAGATTTGCACAATGTGTTGCTCTAGCTATCTTCTAATAAGAATTTTAGATCGCTTGTAATTGACTCCTAATTCCTTTGCACTTCTCGATACTGTAACTACTGATGCATAACTCTGTAGAAGAGACTTGTGAGTAGGGTGTATGTGTTTGTGATCTGAACATTTTTGCTATCCAGCAAGTTTTCTTTCCCAAGGCAAGCAGATAGGAGTAAATTATGAGAAAGATTTAATTAACAGTACAGTACATACAATTGTGCCTTCTTGTTTTTCATTGAGAGCCAAAGCATGCCTGCTAAGTTGACAGTTCAAGTCCTGGAAAAACAACATTATCGTTTTATATCAGAGTTGCTGGCAGTTAGCATTTTGTTGTTGTTGTTGTTGTTGTTGTTGAGATTTCCATCTTCCCCCTGCTGTGCTACCCTCCCCAGTTTTTTTCTCTGGAAAAATCAGTAGCAGTAATGAGTCTGTGAATGTCAGTTTGTTGATGCTTATCTATGTACCCAAAAATACAGTTTCTGAGGTTGTGTTTTGAGGTTCTCTTGTTAGATACAACATTATCTGTGACCTTTCCAAACTGTCAACCACTTACTCAGAAATACACTTTAAACAAGTGTAAAAACCCTAACTTTACATAATGCGTGTACTGAGAAATTGATTCACCACTATGTTGTCTTGAGTGGAGATCTGTGGCTAGGATCCATTCTGCTTCCATTTTGTCCTGTGTTTTTTCCTGGTAAAGATATGGGACCTGTAAGGTTGGGACAAAAACTGCTGCTGTGAAAGCTAAATGTCACTGTGTGGACCAAGCTCAATGCAAATGTAGAGTTGCTGTCACCGACGTTAAGTCCATACAAGGGAAGGAGGTGGGCTTGAAGGCATGACACTGCCCACTACCTGATACACAGCAGCATTTTGCTGTGCCTGCCCATGTGCCGTGTTCAGGGGATTCTAGAATTGGATTTTGGCCCTGCAGCTGCCATCACAGATGGCATACAGTCTTCTACTTTGAAGGGTGCAAGTGTGCACAAATTTTATCCCTTCAAATTTCAGTGAAACTGTCTATTTCTTTTGTAATTTTCCTATTCTTTTATGGTGGGATTTCATTGAGAGGCATTGCTTGGGGTATGTTCTGATGCACGAAATTGGGTGTTAGCACAGGTGAATGCTGCATCTTTTTTCTAACAAAAGTTGTCTTTGGAAATATGTGGTTCAGCTTTAATTAAATGAACCAGAGAGACGGTAACAGCTATCCCTTTTTATTCCTTTGAATGTTCTCCATTTCGTAGCTTTTCCTTAGTTTTCCCAATTTCACATTGTGCATTCCATTCACATTTTGTTTTCCTTCCTAGATGCTGTATTGGATTTGTTGTTGTTGTTGTGTCATTCCTGTGGTGGACGGTCTGAAAACTCAGCTTCCTCTGATTACCTCTCATGTTTGCTATTATTTGAAACTTCTCATTCCTGAATGTAAAGTTAATAAAGAAGTTGGAAGCACTTATTTCTGTGGTGAAGTTGTCCTTTCACTTCTGTCTCGCCATTGTTAGAATTTGTTGATAACTTTTATATACCCTTTGTTTGTTGTTTAGGAATGGTTTCTAACTGGACCAAAATTCCACCACCACTTTTCAAAAAAGTTGTCATTGTGCTGATAGATGCTTTGAGAGATGACTTTGTGTTTGGATCCAAAGGTAAACAGTTTATGCCATATACTACACAAGTTGTTGAAAAAGGGACATCCTACAGCTTCATTGCTGAAGCAAAACCCCCCACTGTGACTATGCCTCGAATTAAGGTAAGTGGTTTTTTTCGACTTAGGGTTGTTTCATTTCAGAATGTTTTGAAGGCTAGATTGTTTCATGTGCTTGGAGTTGGCATAAAGGGTAGGTTTGCTGTGTTATTGCAATTTGTGGCTGAAACTCGCTTTCCTGTAGTAGTACGTGTGATAGAGTCCCAATTTGCCATGGCACAGTGGTGCTTCCTGCAGGAAAGGTCAGGTCAGGGATTGAAGGAAAGTGGAGAGGCTAAGTAAGAGGGAGAGGTGGCAGCTTCCACTGAAGTCACTTTGCCTTATTTTGTTCCTTTATTTCGTAGCTCTGTGATAGGAAGGTCTGTGAGAATCAGTTAAGGGCAGTTAAGGCAGTAATGCAGGTTTCAGTGATTGACATAATCTTTTAATTTGTAATCATGGAAAGGCAGTAGCCTCTCAGATGTCGAATTTTCCAGTTGTCTTCTATGCAAGCATGTTTTTGTTGCTATTTCTCTGTGTTCTTGTAACTTCTGATAGGAAATCATTTTTAGTATAAATTTGTTTTGTCATAGGGATGTTTTTGCAGAGTTTAAGAAGAAAATTATGCGAAGTTCCAGGTAACTAAAAGATAAATTCTGGCTGTGTCATTAAAATGCTTGGTCCTCCAGGCTTTTCGGTGGTGCATCTGAGTGGCATTTCTTGCATTGAAGCTGAAAGAGCGAGCTTTGGTTGGTCAGCTAGAAGGCCAGTGAGAGAGTTAGGGGGAGTCAGCCTGGTAACTCTTGATAGGTGCACTTCATTGCATTTTCCAGAAGATTCTTAACTACTGTTTTGAATGTGCTACCATTGCTTTTGTTGTGTTAAGTCAGTTTACTGAGGCCTTCTAAACTGTCTTTTTGGTGATTTAATGACCAGTAAATATAGGGAATTTCAATTTGCCTACAAAGTCATTTTGCTGTCCTCTGACTAAAACACCATTAGTTTTACCTTTCTGTAAAACAGTTATTATCTTTGATATCAGCTAGCACTCTGTTGTGGCAGGTAATGTGATGTGGCATGGCAGCTCATGTGTTCTTTGACTTTAATTATGTTTCTTTATTGAAAGTCTTAATTTCTCTGCCCTCTGCTACATTGCTTCTTCTTACACTAATACTGTCCTCTGAGTACGGGAAACTTTTTGGTTTCAGTAAATATGTCTCTTCTACCCACCTGGAGTACTGTGTTCAGCTCTGGGGCCCCGAACATAAGAAGGACATGGAGTTAGAGTGAGTCCAGAGGAGAGCCATGAAGATGGTCAGAGGCTGGAGCACCTCCCCTGTGAGGACAGGCTGAGAGAGTTGGGGTTGTTCAGCCTGGAGAAGAGAAGGCTCCTGGAAGACCTTCTAGCAGCCTGCCAGTACCTAAAGGGGGCCTACAGGAGAGATGGGGAGGGACTCTTTACAAGGGCATGTAGTGACAGGATGAGGGCTAATGGTTTTAGCTGAAAGACAGTGGATTTAGATTAGATATTAGGAAGAAATTTTTTACTGTGAGAGTCGTGAGGCCCTGGAACAGATTGTCCAGAGAAGTTGTGGATGCCCCATCCCTGGAGGTGTTCAAGGCCAGATGGAGCTCTAAGCAATATGGTCTAGTGGAAGTTGTCCTTGCCTGTGTCAGGGGGTTTGAAATTAGGTGATCTTTACGGTCCATTCCAACCCAAATGATTCTGTGATTCTGTGATTCTTTTCTTGTTTCATGTAGGCTTTGATGACGGGGAGCATACCTGGTTTCATTGATGTTATTGTGAACCTCAATTCTCCAGCTCTGTTGGATGACAATCTCATATGGCAGGCAAAAACAGCTGGAAAAAGAATAATCTTTTATGGTGATGATACTTGGGTTAAATTGTTTCCAAAGCACTTTGTGGAATATGATGGAACAACGTCCTTTTTTGTGTCAGACTTTACAGAGGTGAGAGGCTTTGTATAATCCCAAGTTAAATAATGTTAGTATAAACACATAGTGGCAACTTCTAAGAATGAATGAATGAAATTATCCTGGTTCTGAAATCCAAACATGTCAATTAAATAGAAATTGGATTTACATGTGTTTTCAGTATTGACCATGTGGAGCTAAGCATTTCAGTCCCTCATGCATATACTGTGGAAGTGTTTGGATGATACAGTAACAAATAGTGTGTTACTGTATAACTTTCCTGAGCATATGATATTCTCACAAAACTTGTGGCAGGAAGTTAGACCACTTGCTTTGTTTAAAAATGTCACTATCCATGTTTCCAGTTTGCTATCATGTTAGTATGTGCCATGTTTAAAAGGTCCATTAATGCATTATCTTGGTCTCTTAGGGGCATACTTTCTATATAATTTTATTGCTTTTGTAGTTGCAGTGTGAGTAGTGTTTCAGTATGTTATCAAAGAGGGAGAATAGGAAGTAAATGAAACAAATTGTGAAATTTCTTATTCTGGCCACACTAAAAGAGCAAATCATTTGGCAATTTCATATTTTGAACCTTTGTGATTTACAAAACCTTAGGCCATTGATCTGCTGCTACTGACCTAAATATTTTATTATGTTTAAGGAAGTTAGATAGGTCTAACATGTGAGTTGGAAGACACTTTTATTTGATTAATAAGACTTGCAGAAGCTTCGACATGGAGTGGAAAGATGCAAACATGTTGCTGGGTCTGCGAATGTAAGGCTCTCAAGCTCTTTATGCAGTCTTTGTGCTTTCTGAATATATTCCATTAAACAGAAAACTTTTTATAGATTTTTGGATAGTTATATCCAGAGTCATCAAAGTGATGTTGCATGTGAAATATTGTAAGGATTTTTAATATCCAGGGTTGTCAACCTAAGCAGAAGAATGTGTGAGTTAGGCCCCAAGTAATACTTTTCAAATAAATTTTCCTTCTTGTTGTGTCATGAGTTTTTTTACTCACAGCAAGTACAATCTTTTTTTTGTGTTTGCACAGTAGCAAAAATTGAGTTGAAAGAGCAGGAGGGGACTTTTTCTCCTGTGCTTCCAAGCACCAAAGAGAGGCTTTTCCCTGAACCTACTTCTTGTGAAGTGATAAATCAGGAATGTGGAGGATGAACGTGTCTGAGAAGTTCTTGAAAGGTTTTGAAAGTATCTGTGGAAGCATGGCAACCCATTTTCTCTGTTTGTGTGTAATCTGATGCCTCATACCCAGAAAAGAGTGAAAGGGAGTGAAGAATCTGTTTTGTAAGACAGTTTTGTTTTTGTTTTTTTTTTTCCTTGTTAACATTGTGAGTGACTCTAGTTCTTAAGGGCTTCTACAGAATTTTCAGGGATAGTGTGATCTAATTTTTCTACGCTTTTTACAAGAGAGAAATGTCTACCTTTTAATTGTTTTCCTTTTATTTCTGAGGTTGATGATAATGTTACCAGGCATTTGGATAGAGTGTTAAAGAGAGAAGACTGGGATCTCCTAATATTACATTACCTGGGGTTGGACCATATTGGACATATGACTGGGCCAAACAGCCCATTAGTGGGACCAAAACTTCATGAAATGGATAACATCCTGAAGAAGATTCATATTTCTCTTCTTTCAAAGGTAGTAAAGGTCTTTTTTGGATCAATGTCTGTTAGCTGTGGATTAACTTTAAAATGCTTGTTTGTGGGTGGTAGATTTTTTATTCATTGGCCAAAGCAGGTATTTTCTGTTCTTTTCATTCCCTGGCCATGCCCCAGTTAACATTATAGCATAGCATTTTTAAGGATTTACTGGCTGACCTTAGTAACATCTCTTAACAATCTCTACTGAGCAGCTGTGAGAAATAGCTCTCCCTTGGTGTGTGGGAAGAGGACAGGAATGTGTGCCAGAATTCTCTTTGTGAATTAAAATGGTGGTTGATGTGCTTTCTGGTAATGAAATTCAGCAGAAGGAATAATGGGCAGGTATAGCTAATGGCTCTGATTTCTACTGTTGTGAAGGCATACCTTCTTAGATCTTGAAAAGATTCAAATGGAAATGGTGCTTGTAAACAACATTTTTCTTATGCTAAATACAGCACATAAATTACCAGACCTGAATCTGTTTTTAGACTTGGAGGTATAGGATGTCACTTGTCTAAATAATCTGGATGTTGAAATACCAAGTCCTAATTCCAAATTGCCTGAAGCCTTTTTCTTGTTTGTTTTTGGCAACTACAATTCAGAATAGCTGCTCATAAAATTTCAATAGTACTTCTAGACAAATGGATACTATTGTATGAAAAGAGAGGTTAAATCCTGCTTGTGGAAGTTACAATCTCATGAATGTTCCAGTGATTTTGCTGCACTTTGTTAGTATGTTTTGCTTTTGCCAGCTATATGCAAGTCTTTGTCTCAGTTTTAGAATGCAGAAATAATAAAAGCACTTTATTTTTGGATGCAACAGGTGCTGCTAATAACTAGAGATGACAAAAAGCTGCTTTGTTATAGGATGACAATATGCATTTTCTTTAGCTTGAAATTGTTGGACAGGCCTCACTGGCGCTTCTGTTTTTCTTCAGAAAAGTAAACATCATTTGACATCAGTCATGTCAGATTTTTACGCCCAAAGCACTTGAGAGAATAGAGGCTATTAGAAATAAGATTATACTTTTATATTAAATTTCTGTTATATTAATATTTACAGAATTAATAATTTAGCGTTTATATTGTATTAAAAACTCAATGAAGATGAAAAGTGTGTGGGGGGGGAATACTTCTCTGTTAATGCTGCTGATCTTGGACTCCTGATTTTCTTCCCAAAGGTTGATGACCTTTATTTAATCCTTCAGTCAGTTTCTTGTGACTCTGTAAATGGAGGGGGGGGTTTAGAGCTTTTTTGTGTTTTTTGTTACATAGCGAGAAGTATGTTAGGTACGTATGTGTGCCTTAGTTAAAAATTAGTATTACTGCATAACACCTTGTTGCAGACATCTCTTGTACTCTGTCCTAGGTCTTGTTAGCCAATTGAAAAAAATGGGATTTATTTTGAGAAATCTTCACGTGTGAAAATGATATAGTGAAGCATTATATAGATGCATCTTGTTTGTACAGTAACTTAAATTTATTTCTGTGACTTGCAGGAAGAAGGTTCTCTGCCTAATTTGCTAGTTGTTTGTGGGGATCATGGGATGTCTGAAACAGGTAGTCATGGTGGTTCTTCAGAAGGAGAAGTGCATACACCACTGCTGTTTATCAGCTCCGCTTTTGAAAAGAGAAGGGGTAAGGATCAGAGAAGCTTGACCTTTTTTCGAACATGTTACCGTCTCTAATTCATATTAGCTCCAGAATTCTTTGGTTTGGTTTGTTCTACAGATACCTGGCAAGGCCCATTCTGTGTGACCTAAAACTCTGGTTTTATCCAGAGTTTGGATCTATGTCATGGTGAAACCATGACTTAGCTTTGTAGCCACTGAGAGAATTGGGTATATATCAGATTGTAAACATTTGTAGTACTGCCCTACTTGAGTGTTGAGAGCTAATGCCACTTCGTCATGATTTAGGTCCAGCCAGCACCTGAACACTACACAGCTGCTTGCTCATTCCCCCTCTGCCCTGATGGGAGGAGGAGGAAGATTGGAAGACAAAAGGTAAAACCTCATGGGCGGAGACAAGGACAGGGAGGGATCAGTCACCAGGTACAGTCATGGGAAAAACAGACTCGACTTGGGGGAAAAAGATCAATCTAATTTGTTACCAATCAACTCAGAGTAGGATAATAAGAAACAAAACCAAATCATAAAAGACCTTCCACCCACCCCTCCCTTCTTCCTGGGCTCAATTTCACTCTCGATTTCTCTACCTCTTCCCTGCCAGTGGTGCAGGGGGATGGGGAATGGGGGTTGTGTTCAGGTCATCAGAAGTTGTCTCTGCTGCTCCTTCCTCCTCTGGGGGAGGACTCCTCACACTCTTCCACTGCTCCAGTATGGGGTCTCTCCCATTAGTGACAGTTGTCCATTAACTTCTCTGACATGAGTTCTTCCCACAGGCTGCAGTTCTTCATGAACTGCTCCAGCCTGGGTACCTTCTGTGAGGTGCAGTCCTTAAGGCACAGGCTGTTCTTTCAGGGCTTCCCATGCAGTCACGGCCTCGTTCAGGTGCAGCCACCTGCTCTGGTGTGGGGTCCTGCACAGGCTGCAGGTGGAGATCTGCTCCGCTGTTACCCCCCATGGGCTGCAGGGGGACAACCTACCATCTCAGCATGGGCTGCAGGGGAATCTCTGCTCTGGCACACCTCCTCCCCCTCCTTTCTTTCCTAACCTTGGTCTCTGTGTAGGTGTTTCTCTCACATCCCACTCCTCTCTCTGCTGCTGGTTCATTTCATTTTTTTTTCCCACCCTCTTAAGTATGCTGTTCGCAGAGGCACTGATTGACTTGCCCTTGGCCAGAGGCTGGTCCAGCTTGGAGCTGGGGAAGCTTCTAGCAGCTTCTCACAGGAGCCACCCCTGTAATCACTCTTCCCACTACCAAAACCCCACCATATAATCCCAATCTGTTGTCAGGATCCTGGGGTACTATAAAATGTATACGATTAGAAGTAAAATACTATTTGAAGTGAGTTTTAAGTTTTGTCTTTCTTGGCCAGAATATTTCCCTGGCCTCCATTCTTCCCTCTCAGACAGTGAGGTTAGAGGAATAAATGGCAATTTCTCATGCTGAGAGTAACAGCAAAGAGAAAGAATTGCTCTTGTGAAAGGGTGAGAGATGAGAGCAGTGAAAACATCACTATTGATTGCTACGCATTAAGGAAAGAATTTGGAGCATGAGTGTATTCACTGTATTGGCCAGGCAGTTAATTTTAAGTCATTGTTATGAGTTTATTTGTTCTCAAAACTCTTTTTCTGCTTCTGTAATGTAGCTTAAGGTAAGAGGCAAAAAGGGAATGGTGTGCTAGAGAATCTTCAGTCTGATTTGTAGAGTCTTGTAACTCCTTGACTGAGTGAATCAGTGGAATGAAGTAACACCAGGAGTGTGTATTTTGTTCAAAATAATACTTCCTTCTGCCTTTCATTCTGCTTTTTGCTCATTTCCATCAGATTTCCTTGCTTTTAAAGCCTGTTTGCAGAACCTTGCCTTGTTCATCTTGCTGGAGGTTTCTGCAGCACAATGGAAGTATGTTTATCTGTCTGTCATTTATAAAGCTGTTGTCCAACTGCAATAGAAAGCATTACTTGAGGAGTCACTGAACTCTTTTCAGGTATAAAAGCAAAACAAAGTCAAGAGCTGGACAAAGCTCTCGAGCACGTTTTTGCTTTATAAATTTCACTGGTATGTGTTGACAACCAGGCCACATGAGCATAGATTCCGTAAATGCAATCTCTTGTTCATTGGGATTAGTTTCTGTTAGGTTTAAACTGAATGTGCAGTTTTTACAGTACAGTGAAATATATCTGTTCACTTGTCTTTTGGGCCCAGGTCTGTGATTTCTAATGATGCCCATGTAAAGATACAGCAGCTTGCTTCTCATCACTACAGTAATTGGAATTCTAGTGACTGCTCTTTATAATCCTACTGTAAACAAAATGTACTGTGGTTAATTTGGTAGACCTCAAAATAGTAACCCTGTGGGCTTTTGCATTTAGTATGCTGTCAGAATATTACTTGTGTAGCTTTCTACAGAGATGCGTCACCCATGGTTTGCTAAGTGCATTTGCTAGTTTGGCTTTTTTTTAAAGAGTTAAGAACTTGGCTTTAAAGATTAAATCTGAAAACTGCTGACAGGCAGGCACTTGTGCAAAGAGGCTTTAGGGATTATAGATGGTATTCTGTACAAGTATGGGATTAGTCAGAGCTAGATGAGAAATGAGAGAAGTCCTAATGCTCTTATAGGGAGCCTTGAGAGTAATAAACACTATATAGAATTCTTTCTGTACGGTACTTGAGCCAAAATATTCAATGCCGGGAGTTACAGAGAGAACAAAGTAAAAACATGATAGAAAACCACCTGCATGTAGCTAGTAAAGCACACACAAAAACAATTGGCAAGACAATCTTAAACAAAAGGTTACTTACATTAGTGAAATCATTCACAGGTGTAGATGTCTGTGGGACTAAAGGGTAATCCTGTTAACTGCAGTAAGGTGATGGGATCCTGCACAGGACCCTTTAAAACTTACTGGGTTTGCCTGCATGGAGCCATGGATTTGGACCTCAGCATTCTTTACCGGACCTCTAATTGTGTTTGCCTAGCAATCTGATATTAATTAAATCTTGAGCTGTTCTGATTATATCGAGAAGTTTCTGTAAAGCTGTAGCATTATTTTAGATTCTCATTCTTCGTTCATGCATTGAATCAGTCTACTGTAGTGCTTGCTGTTCTTTCTAATGTAAAAGTTATCAAAGTCTCTTAGGATGTAGACTGCAACTTGATAATAAGGTGATCTCCTGGACCGTCTCTTTTCTTACATGTATAACATTCATGTTGTGTTTGCAGTAGTTGCTAGCATTGAAGAGTGACTGCTGAGAGCTGATAACTGCTGAGAATTGAATAAATATTGTTTTACAACAGCAGAGGACAGAAGCTGAAAATGATCCCTCAGCTCTCTGTAGATCACTTAAAATAGTATATCTAAATTTTGAAACTAATAAAATGCCGGCTGTCTCTGGAGAAATAAAATGGGCCTGTTATATCTTATTTTTTTTTTTCCCTCTTTTTGTTGATTCTAGGTCCTCTAACCCAACCTGAATTAGTGCAACAAACTGATTTAGCTAGCACACTGGCAGTGGGCCTTGGTCTACCAATTTCAAGAAACAGTGTTGGGAACCTTATATTGCCAGTTGTGGGAGGCAAGTCAATGAGAGAACAGCTACGTTTTGTGCATTTGAATGGATTCCAGCTTAGCAGACTGCTGCAAGAGAACACACCTGCATATGAGAAAGGTAAATCATCTGAAAGAAAAAAAGTTACATATACAAAAGGAGATTGTTTATAACACAGTTTGGACTTTTAGGTTCAAGAGTATAGCATGGCACTGCAAATTCAGTGGAGAGCAGTGCTCAGAGAAACAATACTGAATTCAGTCTTGAATACTGTAACCTACTCAAGCACACCACCTCTGAGTAAGGTTTTTTTAATGACCAGTACACTCCTAGTAGGCAAGAGAGCAGAAATAATGATGAAGGAGTAAGATTAAAGTAAAACTGCCAGTGTAGTTAAATCTCAGTGGTTTCGTATCTGCTGTTTGTGACGTATCCTACATAGGGCACTGATTCTGAGCATTAGCCCAATGGAGTGCATTTTGTAGTTTAAATAAAAAGGTGCTTGGAAAGAATTTAGAGTAAGTTATCTTTTTATTTCATTCTTATGTGTGAATTTACTTGGCATGGGAATCTAGAGAACTGCGAAGTTGCTTATTAAAAATATATATAGGTGTGAGCATATATGCGTGTGTTTGTGTATTTGGAGGAAAGAACTGAAAACAAGTGGAAAAAATAACCAAAAACTACCAAAATGTAATATTTAGTTAGGAAGCGTGATACAAACTGCAACAGAAGCAAGCAAGTTAATATTATAATTGTGTGGAAAAAAAAACCTGACTCAGAGGATGAAGGAGAATATTTTACCATAGACATTAGAAAATGTTGTTTCCTTAGAATGACTGTGAAGCTTGAAGTCCTTGTCACTTGATTTATAATCTGCTGAATCATTAAAATAACTGGATGAGAATGCAGAGTTATGTTACAGGTATTAATAATTACAGTGGATAACAACATAAAGTTTAGCAAGATGATAATTGTAGGTCAAGAATTAATTCTCTTTCAACATCACAGCTTCTAGTAATAATTAAAACCTGTCCAAGAGTCTAACAAAACAGATACTACTTATGGTAGCAACATGTCAATAGCAGGACTCAGGTTCCATCTATTCTGAGATTTTTTTCTGCACAGATTTTCTCACTTAGCCCATTTGTGTAAAGTGAGGAAACTTGTCCTGTTGCTGGAGTTCAGGGTATGACTGTGTTACTGAAAATACTAATGCAAAGCTCCATCTGACGGTATTTCTGCGAGCACTGGTGAAACAGACTGAAGTTTGTACCAGCTTCTAGTTTATATCTTCAGTTTAATTTTATTTTTGTCTGGGAACAGCTCAATTTCAACTTGTAGTTTTTGTCTGAGAAATGAAGTCAAAATTGCTAAGGATGGAAATGTGAGAAATTTTTATGATGCTTCCTTGTGACTGCGAACTGCTATTAAAGGTGCTACGCTACTGCAAAGGGGTTGGGGGGCAAAGCATCCATGATGATCATCTCTCTTTTCAGTAATGGAGAGTCTCAGTAACATGGAACTAAATCAAAGTCATGGTGTCTTTTTTTACAGAGTCTTAAGGTGAATTCTCCCTGTTGCTGTAAACTTTTAGAGGATCTTGTTTTTCCTGGGTGTGCAAGGCTTAATGGTTTGATTAGGATGATTAAGATTGGCAGGAACAAGAGATGTGCTGTTTGTTTAGTGTTGTTTGATTGATGTGGATACTTCAGGCTCTAGAAATACTAAAGAAAATGTCACTAACTCAGTGAGTAGTGCTGCATGTAGATTAAAAGCATGCATGGATGGCCCTTTATTTTGGGTGGCTTTTAAGTGAAGGTAAGTACCATCCCACCTATCTCACTACAGGCATATACACATGCATGCGTATCTGTTGTGATTCCTATTGGAAAGAGATTATCTTGCAAAGAAGTCATTATATTCAATAATCAGATTAATCTTCGAGAAAGATGCCCATTTTTAAAAAGGGTAGAACTGCATGTCATCTACCTAGATTTCTGTAAGGCTTTTGATATGGCCTCCCCCAACATTCTTGCTAAGAGAATTTGCGTTAGAGAGATGCGGGTTTGACAAATGGACTCTTAGATAAATAAGAAATTAGTTGGATGGCCGTGTCTGAAGAGTTATAGTCAATGGCACAATGTCCAAGTGGAAGCAGGAAT